AACATAGATTTGTGCCAATTTTTTTCTCATCGAAAGGAAGCACTGTCCTTATTAAAATCATGAAATAAAAAATGGGGGTCACCGTACTCGTTTTTGCGGTAGAGCTGCAGAAAGTGCGCACCAAACGCATTTTCTCCGATTTTTGAGAGAGGACTGGGGCGAGTTTCAAAATAGAATGTATGTGAAAGGGGGAAGAAAGTATTAAAAAATCCGTTTTTACAGAATTTACATCGAGATATCACATTTAGGACACAATGTGATAAAGAAAGTGTTTAAATGAAAATCAAAGTGAGTAAGCACAAGTTAAACATCCACTATCGAGGTTCTCCGAGAGGAGGTCGAACTCAGCAACACGCGTACTGCTTACGTTATGCAGATTCCCAACACATTGAGTCTCACCTCGGCAAGAAACAACAGCAAGCAAAAATTCCAATAGCGTTTCTCTTCAGTCAACTTCATTTTAATAATATTACTTGACATGCTCTTTTTTACGGCGGCCATCTTGTTATGCGCAGTAAGAGATGCGCAGTGCAAAACTAGGGAATCACCTTAAGTACTCTGTAAAGGGCAATACGGTCGTACATCTCATTAACATACATTGGAGTTAAGGAAGTCAATCTCAAGTACTCTTTATACAATGTGCTTTCACCGACAAAAATTTAAATACATACGGTGACAATGTTTATTCTACATGAGGTGTTAAGGGCGCTTTCCATTTGTCAGAACTGACTGACCAGACCATTCCCGTCGCAATGAGAATCGCTCTTTTACTCAAAACTATCCAGCCAGATCAGTCTAAGCTTAAATAGTATATGTAAGAAGGTTTGCACCAAGAACTCTTCGAAAAAGCCTATTTCTATTGTCAAAATGACTGGTCCGGCCGTGAATAAGATCTTGTCACGGTTTTTGACGAATATGCAAACGCATGAGAAATTACAGTGTTTGTATGAGAATCTAATGTCGAATAAATTTAAAATTTCCAGGGAAAAATTGCGGACAAATATATGAAAAATCTAAAGCAAGCTTCTTGAGAAATTGAAGCACAGTAACGGCCCCCAAAATTTGTCAGTAAAGTCCTTTGCTGTGTAGCTTTAGTTTACAATTCATATTTTTTCCAGAACAGCCGTTTTACGGAAATTATTCGACATTGAATTCTCATACAAACACTGTAATTTCTCAGGCGTTTGCCTACTCGTCAAGATGGCGTCAAAAACCGTGACAAGGTCTATTCCTTTTCCATACAGTGTTTGATAACGGACTTTATATCAGTAGCAGATGGTTCTTATCTTGTGATCCAGACCAGATCAACACGTTACGTTCGCATATCACAGGAATTCAGGCTATGGAATCATATGTGATGATTCATTTGACGATGTAATAGCACTCTTCAAATCATTTCAAATTATAACTATGCTGCTAACTGAGCACATATAATCATTTCACGATCATTTGCATGATGCAATGTGTACGCATGGAATCATCTCTGGAATCATAACATGATTTTATGAGTACACATAACATCGTCTCTTGAATCATAACATGATTTTATGTGTACACAAAACATCATTTCTGGAATCATAACTTGATTTTATGCGTATACATTTAATATCATCTCTGGAATCATAACCAGATTCTATGTGCACACATAACATCATCAATGGAATCATGACCTGATTTTATGTGTACACACAACTTCATCTCTGGAATCATAACCTTATTTTATATATAAACATAACATCATCTCTGGAATCATAACCTTATTTTATATATAAACATAACATCATCTCTGGAATCATAACTTGATTTTAGGTGTACACATAACATCATCTCTGGAATCATAACTTGATTTTAGGTGTACACATAACATCGTCTCTGGAATCATAACATGATTTTATGTGTACACAAAACATCATTTCTGGAATCATAACTTGATTTTATGCGTATACATTTAATATCATCTCTGGAATCATAACCAGATTCTATGTGCACACATAACATCATCA